GGGGGGGGGGGGGGGGGGTGCTCTTGGGGGTTCTTGGTAGGGGTGTGCCCCCCGGTTCTTCAAGTCCTGACGGTTTTTAGACCAAAAAGGTGCAAAGGCCATACCCCTTTGGATGGCACATACCTAGTTGGCTTATACAGGGGGGATTACTCCCCAGGAGAAAACCCATGTATCTTAAAAATTCTGTCCATGGGCCTGGGTGCCTTTAAATGCTTCATTTGGTCGATACACTTTGAAAAGGAAAGAATTGGTTTGAAGGGTTGATATTAAACCAAATCAGTTCAAAGGCAGGTAAATAAAAATTTGCACGACTCTTGTCAGTAAGCGAAAAAGGGAATAATTTTAATTTTAGTACGTGGATGCAGTCTAAGAAGACAGCTCGTCACAATATTATTTCTACTTTCTATTCTCTAACTCCCATGTCCCATTTTAGTCTATTTGCTCATTAGGATAATGCTCGTAAAACTAATTAAAGTTTGTATTCAATTGTTCAGAAAGCTGCTGCCTCCCAATTCTTTGCTGAGTATGAATAACAGTTGAGCTGGTGTATATTTTCTTATATAATCAGACTTTGTACGATATAGTTCAGGGAAAATGTGTGTCCCAATGTCTTTGCTGGGTTCGAATCCCAGTTGGCCCCTAAGCATATATTATTGTTTAATCAAAGTTTTTATGTGAAAGTTAGAATATATCATAGGGCATCAAACATAATGCCCTGGCATCCTAATTGTTGATCTCACAGGTTTAAAACTGGAGTATTCCTTTGCATGTTTCAGAGGGGCAGCATTATGTCAAATGCCATTTATCATGCAGTTTGAATTTTACACTGTAGTTTGTTTTGACCATAAATTATGGTATCTTCTACACTGTGTTGCTATCTAGACTGCTTAATGTATATAAATAGAATAAAATTATTTTAATATTGTATTTACCTTTCTTGTTCCTCGTTGGTCAAATCTTTTAAATTGTGCCTCTGATCTCCTGGCATATCTCTAGGTGATAAAGAAATGAACTTAATTAACTTACGGTCTCATATTTCATACTACTCGATAACGAGAATTCTTTCATAATTTCAACGCAATTAGGAGGAAATCGTCCTTGGGTGCCCCCTGTAAATATGTATACCTTTATGTCTGTCCTGACCTTCTAATTCTATTGACTTCTTTGGTATTTTGGTTTTTATATTGCAGAGTCCTTTCTTGAAATTCTTGTAGGTACTATTAAGCTTAAATTAGGTTTGCACTGCTACACTGACTGTGAGCGATGGAAGATCCAAACTAACAGCTCCACGCCGCCATATTGGCCGGGACACCAGTAGACCCTGGAACGAGGATTCCTTCGTGGTTTATACCACAGGCTACCCACACAATCTGCTTGTTGGTAAATGAGTTTGCTTCGAATTCATCTTTACAGTAAGCTACAGTAGCAATATATCGCCAACTATGTATATAGATTGATAAATAAACAATGTACTACCTTACCTAATGTATATTGTTGTCTTTTTGCCTTCACAAAGGTATTTTCAGCGATTTTGACTGATTTTGAGTTCGCCTGGATGACTGCGTAAAAAGTAAAGACGAAAACAGTTACCAAAGCCATTTTGCCAAGTCTGCAGTCTGAAGTTCACAAAGTCACTGACAAAAGATCGGGATTGCAGGGGGGTTGTTACAAATACTTACCGTTTTAAAAATCGTCAGATTTAGTTGGGTCCGCCCTTAACAGTTAATGACTGTACTTCTGTTAGATTGTTCGCCTACATGAGTGAACAAGACAAAAACAATAGTCAAAGCATAACAAAGAACTCTTTAAAGAAGAAGTTGGATACGATTTGTTTGAAATACTCTTTGTCTGGCAGTTAAAATTTTATCGCAATAGGTTTTTGACATCAGTGATTACCTAACACAAGCCGTGTTCGTTAGCTAGTACATGATTCCTAACCCTTTATTGATTATCTAACTCAAAGCGAGGAAATTTGTTTTTGTCTTTTGTGTTGGACTGAGAAAGATATATAGTCGTAAATTTATTGAAGTAAGTTGTAAGAATTGCAAGGAAAGAGAAAGATGGTGGTAAGCTAAGGGCCGAAGCCGGAGGTGTTTTTACAGCAGGCACTTGCGTTTTAGAATCATTTCGTTTTCGGTCCGCACGTTTTTCCCGTGTAACCCTAGTATGTAAACCTTGACCGTTTTTTGCATTATTTACTACTTGAAGAAAATCTCCTGGGGGGGGGAGGGGGTGCTCCTGGGATTTCTTGGTGGGGGTTCGAGTCGCCCCGTTCTTCAACTCCTGGCCTTATTTCAGACCCAAAAAAATGACATTTTCCACGCCTTTTTTTAGTCCTGGCCTCTAGGCAGAATTCTGTCAAAGAATATGCAAATGTTTCTTTTTCTTTCTTATTCATTAATTTGGAATTGAAATGACAAATACGTTCTTATACGGCGTTTTTTCCCTCGAAAACCATACCCAATTTCAAACCAAAATGAGCAAAGTTTTTACCCGTTTTTAGACCGAAAAAGCGCAAAAACCATATCCTTTGGGGTGGCACATACCCATGTGGCTTACAGTGTGTATAAGGGAATATTCTCCGGGAGAGAATCCAAGTATCTTAAAAATTCTGTCCGCGGGCCTGAGTGCCCTCTAAATGCTTCATTTGTCCGAGACATGCACTTTGAAAAGGAAAGAATTGGTTTGAAGGGATGATACTGAACCAAACGGTACAAAGGTAAATACAAATTTGGACGACTCTCCAACGAAAAGGAAAGGATTTGCATTTTAGCAAATGGTTGCAGACTAAGAAGAGAACTTGTCACAATATAATTTCTGCTCTTCATTCTCTAACACCCATGTCTCATTTTGCTCTTAAGTGTTTAACTTTCAAAAAACATTGATGTAAATATATAGGTAATAACGACTTTATATAAAGCAGTCTATTTGCTCATAGGGATGCTAGTAAAGCTAATTAGTATATTGCCAAATGTAAAATCGCTCAGGAGCAAATATTGTCCGGAGAAAATCAATCATATTTCAACTCGTTACCGGGTCTAACATAACTAAGTTATAGTGACTTCAGGTATCCTACAAAAAAAACTGACAAGTTTTCTATCACCATATGCATATTAAAACCATTTTTTTCCTTCTGTCAGTTTACGATTGTCCTGGTTAAGGTGACTTTTTACTTGGATAGTTACCTCTAAAAATCTCTTGCTGTTTTTCTACCATAAGCTGATAACTCTCTTCGTTATGTTCCTCGTCACTCAACCATGCACTGAATGTTACTTCTCAAAACTGAGGGAAAAGAAAAAGGAAAAACATACAACTGTCGATTAAAATAAAATACTCTGAAAGGTTTCAGTTGAGAAACAAGTTCACAGTCTAAATAGTGCCTGCACTTGGCAGCTCTTTGACAGTTCGTTCAGACAAGAGAAAGGCAAGAGATATAGCAATAGCTGAAGCACTTACACTTTCAAATCAGTTCCATATTGATTCGCGAGTTGAATGTCTTCACTGTGTTGTTGGTACAGTTCTAATGTTATACCATGTACCTTGCAATAGAGCGAACAGTTTCAGCAGCAGCAACTTTCATCAGGTATCGTTAAACACAAGCGATCCATGATCGTTCAGGAGAGACTAGCTTGAGACTACGATGCCGTTAGGAAATTTCAAAAATCATTTTGGGGTTATTTGCGCATGGGTGAATATAGATAACTCATTATTCTACTTTGGTTCTCGTGAAAAAATGATGAGAATCTAAAGTATTGAAAACGCCTGTGAAGTATAATGATTTACATATTTGTTCCTTTTTTTAGCGTAACGAATTGCAATCAGAACTACATGCAAATGATAAACCTTAAGAAACTTCCCAAGTATTTCAAATCATTCAAAATTTTGGTAATAGTTCTAGGAGTTGTGCTATATTTATT